GCATGCGCACATTTCAGTTTAAAAAAAACCCCACAACCCCGTTTGCCGCGGCGCTCTGCTTCTTTGCCGCGTTGTGTGATTGGCACATCCCCCCTAACCACGGGAGCTCTATGGGACCTCAACCCAACGCCTGATCGTGCAGTCGCGCATTAGTTTGCTCCGGGGCAAACAGCCACGCCTCCTCCCCGCATTTTCCTGCCCATGTAGCTGAGGCCACTGTTCTCTGTGCAGATACTTATTTCTGTCAACAGAGGGATCACTCTCCCTCAACAGCTTTTTCTACAGACTCAGGGGACTTTCTGGCTGCAGAAAAATCCAAAAAGTTAAAAAAAACACCTTTAGAGACAGTTGAATCCCCCACAATACCTTTTGAAATGACCTCTGCAGGGATCTAACTCTAAGCATCAACGGTGAGAAATCAGAGTGTTCGGTGGGGGGGAGGCATCTAAGTGGCTCTGCCAGTAGAAGGCAATGGGGAAGGGCCCTTTCCAGTAGTATTTTGGCCTTTGAGAGATGGAGTCAAAATAGGGCTGGGTTTGGGGAAGGGAGAGGCCTCAGCTGGGTATAATGCCACAGAGTCCACCCTCCAAAGCAGCCATTTTCTCCAGGGTGACAGATCTCTGCTGTCTAGATTTCAGTTGTAATTCTGGGGGGGTCTTTAGGTCCCACCTGGAGGCTAGCAACCCTAAGCCTGGCAGCAGTCTAGGGTTGCCAGGTCCCCCTGGCCACTGGCAGGGAATGGGGGGTTTAAGGTTGCCAGATCCAGGCTGGAAAACTCCTGGAGATTTGGGGTGTGGACCCTGGGAAGGACAGGGACCTCAGTGAGGTACAATGCCATAGAGTCCACCCTCCAAAGCAGAGGTTCCCAAACTTATTTGGCCTACCGCCCCCTTTTCAGAAAAAAAATTACTCAACGCCCCCCTGGAAATCTACCTTCAAGAAGAGGACAAAAGGATGCAGTGACAAATTTGCACATAGTAAAGAAAGATGCCGTTGTAAATAAGACACTTTGAAGCTCAAAATCATAAACCTATTTTGTAAAATCAACCTTAGTAACATTTGCATACACAGAGAAAAATAAGATAACGAAGGCTGTGATTGGCTGTGGGGACCCCTCTCCACCTCCCTCCCTGATCCCAGGGAAGACCAGAAGGCAGGAAAAGGCTGCTGTAAATAGGTCCTGGACCCTTCTTTCTTTATGCTTCCATCACTCCCTTATTTTTATTCAACGCACCCCAATTGCACCCAAGGCTCCTACTGCCCACCTGGATCATTCCAGTGCCCCCTGGGGGGTGGTATTGCCCACATTGGGAACCAGTGCTCCAAAGCATCAATCTTATCTATGGGAAGTTATCTCTGTAGTCTGGAGATGAGCAGTAATTCCAGGGGATCCCAAGGTTCCCACCTGGAGGCTGGCATCCCTAGGCAGCACCCTCTGGGTGACTTGATACTACCTGACTTATATAACTCAACTAGGCCCAGCTGCTTGCTACTGTTCATCAGCAGCCACCCTATGAAAGCCAGCGACGCAGCAGTTAGAGCTTCAAAGCAGGTTCTGCAAAACCCAGGTTCAGATCCCCATCTTGCAGTGGAAGCTGACAGGGTGATTTTGGACCAGTCACATACTTTCAGCCTAACTTACCTCACAGGGTTGTTGTGCATACAAAAAGCAGGAGAGAATAATGTAAGCTGCTTTGGTCCCCACTGTGGAGAAAGACTGTAATTTTCCTAGGTAGAGGCTGTGGGGGTGGTGTGGTGAAGAAGGAAAGCTGAAGAATGAGAGGCAGATAAAGGTAGGTTGGTTTCTGGGTAGAAAGGAAACAGGGTTGCCACGTCCAGGTTGGGAAATTCCTGGACACTTGAGGGGTGGAGCCTGGGGAGGGGAGGATTTGAGGAGTGGAGGAACTTCAGACCAGTATAATACCATAGGTTCCACCCGCCACACCAGCCATTTCCTCCACAAGAACTAACATTGCCAGCCACCAGCCAGGTGAGGGCTGGAGATCACCCAGAATTACAACTGTTATCCAGGTGACAGAGATCAGTTACTCTGGATAAAATGGCTGCTTTGCAGGGTTGAGTCTATGGCATTATACCCTGCTAAGAAGAAGATTGGATTTATACCCCGCCCTTCACTACCCAAAAGTGTCTCAGAGCGGCTTACAAACTCCTTTCCCTTCCCCTCCCCACAACAGACACCCTGTGAGGTAGGTGAGGCTGAGAGAGCTCTGACAGAAGCTGCTCTTTTTTCAAGAACAGCTCTTATCAGAACTATGGCTTGCCCAAGTTCATCCAGCCAGGTGCAAGTGGAGGAGTGGGGAATCAGACCCGGTTCTCCCAGATTAGAGTCCGCACACTTAACCACTACACCAAACTGCCTCCTCAAGCCTCGCTGTCCCAAGGCTCTACCCCTAAATCTTCAGAAATTTCCCAAGCTGGAGCTGGCAGCCCTAAGGTGAATTGATCTTTGTAGCTGGGAGATCTGTTGTGATTCCTAGAACACTGCCGCTGCTGCTGTGGGGGGAGAGGAAGCAGGTGGGTGGCTGGGACCACTGCCACCACTGCTGCTGCGCAGGGTGGGGGAGGAGGCAGACAGGAGGCTGGGAGAGTGATGGGGGCAGAAAGAGAGAGAAAGACTGAAGATCTGGGGAGGCAGAAAGAGAGAAAAAGACTGAAGAGGTGGGGAGGCAGAAAAACAAAGAGAATGATGATGGGTCAGAAAGAGAGAGGAAATAAGATGCATGGAGGAGAGACAGAGAGTAAGAAAAGGGGGGCCAGAAGGGAGAAAGAGTGTGAGAGAGGTAGGGGGAGAGGGGAGGAAGCAAAGGTGTGAGGAATGGGATAACCATCCTGCCAGTTTCTTTCAGGTCTCCACGTGTGTGTGTTTGTGTAAAAGAAATGAAACATTTTGCTTCTTGATAATACTTTAATTGGCACTCTGCACTGTTAAGCTGACTGTGAGCACCTGGTTTTGACCCGGCTGGTCTTGTTCGAGTATCTAATACATGAAAGTCAAGGAAAAACTGTAATGGGTGAAATTTATCTCATCCCTGTGGCATTGGAACAAGAGAAAATACTCCTGCCAGACTTCTCAGCTACACAGCGAATTCAAGACTGGGTGTCTTTTTTGAATGTGGAGCTGGCAACACAAAAATGTCTGCGCTAGCAACCATACCACAGTGTCCATCTGGAAAATGTTTTGGTACTTAACGAAATCAAGGGCTTTATATATGAGACCAAATACTGATGATGTAACTGAACACATCGAAAAATCTGGAGAAATGCCAATATTTGTCCCAAATTATTGTTGGCACTTTGAACCACAGATCCTCACAATTATCATGAGCAAGAGCAGTATACAGGTTCCAATACCTTAAGCTGCCAAACAAGACAAAGGCATTTTTCATTTACCAAAACACATAATTAATTGTACATGCCCTGACATGGATAGCCCAGGCTAGCCCAATCTCATCAACACTTGGGAGCTAAGCAGAGTTGACCTTGGAAAATCCCACATGGTCACCCATAAGTCAGCTGCAAATCAACAGCAAATAATAATAATATTTGTACATGTGCAATTACAAATTGACCTCAAAGAAAAAGAGTTGCCTTTTCTCTAATCAGCTGCGTGACAAAGGATGCAATCCCTAGAACATTGTCCTGGGAGTATGCCCACTGGATAAAATGGGACTTCTGAGCAGACCTTTTTAGGCTTGTTCCCTTTCTGTGCTAAAAGCCAGTCACTTATTATAATAACAAATGTTGTCTGTCACACAATTTGATGGTACATTTGCCTAGTCAACGAGAGAGTACAACCACCCATCATTGAAACAGCGTCTCTCATAGCTAGAAAAGGAATGTAAATGTTGTATATATTTTTCAGTGAAAGGTCTCATCTCATGAAACTTTAAGTAAAACGGTTTAATGAGCACTGCACCGTCATTAAGATATTTGAGACCATGCACTTCAAAGGAAACGACTAATGTTTTGTAAAGGAAACGACTCTAATGATTACCTAAACCATGACTTCATTATTATATAATGGTTGCTTTCCTAATGAACTACTACCCACTTGGAGGTTGGCAGCCCTACAAATAACCTTATAGTGCCTCTTGAAGATTTCTAACCTCCCCCCCTCTCAATTCTCCTTAGGCAGCCTGTTCCAAAAGCAAGAACTACAACAGAAAAGGCACAGGCTTTGGTTGATGCCACGCAGGCTACCTAGAGTGGGAGAACAGCCAGTAGGTGGAAGTCTGCGCCGCGCGTTTTCCTGAAGATATTGCTTGTTTGCTGGTACCTTTTAAAACCGCGTTTACGGCCAGAAGGGACGGGTTGGGGGCGCGACGCTTGCCAGATGTTGGCATCTGATCGCGCTAGTTTAATCCGCCCTCAATCCGTCCATTGTGTGGGGCAAATCCTCCCGTGTGACCAGAGCCCAAGTCTCTCATTTCTTAGATTCAGCTAAACTAAATGCAGTTGATAGAATGGACTTTTGGCCACTGTAGGAGCCTTTTTTCACTTTGGCGTGCAGGTTCATGGTATTAGCATATAAACCCAGGCACTGTGACACACTCCAAATGCCAGCTTGGATCCACTGGTAATTTCCACCAAAGGAAGGGATTTCTGTCCACAGAGAGCAACTTCCTCACCTCTCCTGCCACTGCACCCCCAAATGCTCCCCAAAATGTTGGCCCTGGAGAACAGGGGAGGGGACTCCCAGGAAGAGCATGATGGAGGAGTCACAGTTCACCAATAGGAGGTTAATCACCAGCCCCCACCTCCATCCACAGAAATCTTCAATGGGATTCAGGCCACCCTTTGTGTATGCAGTGTAGCTACTTGTTTCTCTATGTACTTTGCCAAGTATGTTTCTCCCACATTGAATACCTCTGTCATCTTTAATAGACTTGCCCTGAATCCAGCAGTTTCCTCCAGAAGTGAATTTAAAAGCAGTTCTGCTTTACATTAGATCAGGATAGCTTTTGAATGTGTTTTCTTACCTGTTTTAGTTCTATATACTGATCTCACTCCAGTGCCCAAATGCCCATTTTCTCCATCTCCTCTATCAGATTTCCCAGCTATTGTAGGACTGGAGCCACAAATGGTAGACGTGTTTACAGATGATGAGCCATTCTGTTGTTTCTCATCCACCTAAAATAAACCAAAAACCCTTGATTACGACTGTTTTCTCTCTCACAAAGATAGCTTTTTTATTCTTTATTGAAATATAAATTAAAGCTGGGGGGGAATGGCATGGATATATGCTTCAGAAAGAAGGCCTTTGAAAGGGAGTCTCTAGTGTAGAGGAGGAGGAAGAGTTCAGCATTCAGGACTTTTGCCTGAACCCTTAACTTCCCAATTGCCTAGGCAACAAGAACTTGTCATTCTAAGTGACACTCAAGACTTGGAGAAATGGCTCTTCTAAAAGCACATACTGGAGTGCTTTCCAAGATTAGATTCTTGGAGAGGACAATGATCACATGACCAGTGGGTGTGTCCATTTACTGGTTTAACTTCTAGCCTAACCTTCCCTGCAAGCAGGCTCAGGGTGGGTTACAACAAGCAATAATACGAAATACAATATTTTAAATATCACATCATTAAAACCCAATTTACAATAAGATCAATTACTATATCGATGGCAACCATTCAACTACTCTGTCTCCTTCTGCTCCCATATAACTTCCCCAAGGGTTGTAGATGGATGGTAATTGATACTGGGGAAACGGACGGAGAGCAGACAATACAGATTGACAGCGATAGATGTTGACAGCAATACAGGGGAGGCCGATATAAGTGGATCTCTGTTGCCTCAACAATGGCTAACCTACAAACCCTTAGAATTTCAAGGTCACTTAGATGTCTTCACATCTTTTTAGAGACCTATGACGTTGGCTAGCAAGTATATTATACTACAGGACGTTTGAACTTTTGTTAAAATCCTAGAGTGAATCTCTGATCAGCCAGTACACTAGCATTGTTTCCAATCCACTAATCTTTATAACTTCACAACCATAAGGAAAATAATATTGCCATGGACTAGTTACCACCTCAGCATAAAGCATAAATTACTTGACAAGATCATTATTCAAGTAAGTGCAGAAAAGGGCAACTCGAATGATAAAAGGGTTGGAACACTTTCCCTCTGAGGAAAGGTTAAAGCGCTTAGGGCTCTTTAGCTTGGAGAAACGACGACTGAGGGGAGACATGATTGAGGTTTCTAAGATTATGCATGGGATAGAGCAGGTAGAGAAAGAGGTACTTTTCTCCCTTTCTCACAATACAAGAACTCGTGGGCACTCAATGAAATTGCTGAGCGGTCGGGTTAGAACGGATAAAAGGAAGTACTTCTTCACCCAAAGAGTGATTAACACATGGAATGGAATTCACTGCCACAGGAAGTGGTGGCGGCTACAAGCATGGATGGCTTCAAGAGGGAATTGGATAAACATATGGAGCAGAGGTCCATCAGTGGCTATTAGCCACAAGGTATAGATAAGGGCTCTGGGGCAAGTGATGCTCTGTCTTCTTGGTGCTAGGGGGGGTCAACAGTGGGAGGGCTTCTAATGTCCTGGCCCCACTAGTGGACCTCCTGATGGCACTGGTATTTCTGGCCACTGTGTGACACAGAGTGTTGGACTGGATGGGCCTTTGGCCTGACCCAATATTGGCATCTCTTATGTTCTTATTATGAGAATGTACAAAAACAGCCTGAGTATATCGATTTGAAACCAATATCAATGGGGTAAGAATGCACAGAATTGCTGCAATTTTATTCATTCTTACTTGAGAGTAAACTGCCCAGAACTCAGTGGGATTTTGTCTGAGTAAATTTAATAGGATAATACTGTTAAAAATATTACAAGTGCTATAAAATAGAAAAACAATAGTAACTCAAGTACTCTCTGAAAAAAAAGGATTGCTTACATGAGATAACGATGTTGCATTTACTCCTTTTGAAACTCCTTTTGAAACCAGGGTATCTCTAACCATGCAAACTATGATTACATTAATGGCTTAGTTCTGATCAAGGTAGCAAATCTACACCTGAGCTGTACTACTTAGACTACAGGTGGAAGGAAACATAATTGATTGCTCCTACACTGGAAGAAAAAAAAATTCACATAGAAACCTAGTATATCAGGGAAAAACTAAACTAGACCCTATCTTCTTGACATCTAGGTTTTTACATGGAAGAGATGTTTTTGTATGGAAGACCATTCAGTTACATAAGTCCTCACCTGCAGTCTGAATAAGATTGGCTCAGACATAGGTTTGCCACCTCAGTGAGAAATACGCCAAAGAAGCAAGGAGAATTCAGTCTGCTCAGAATTCAGTTCATGCATTATTGACATTAAAGCAACATGTGGAACTTAGTCATGTCAGTGTACATGATTCTCTCCTTTTAGCACTACCTTAGTTATTTTAATTTCTAGGTCTGAGTTGTCAGGCTCTTTCTTCAAATAAACCGAATTGGCTTTCCCTGGAGGCATAAACCTTGGTTTTTTGGCTGAATTCCCCAGCAGTTGACTTGGAGCTGCAGAACGCCTCATGTTCCATTCAGCTGATGGTCTGAAACACAATGACAAAGAAGCTTGCTGTAGAAGCCAACCTGAAGTATTTCCCATAACTCATGCTCGTGGCTATACCTCCCATCAAACCACGGAGCAAAGATAGAAGTGTCTAGGCCAGTGATGGCAAACCTTTTAGAGACCGAGTGCCCAAACTGCGACCCAAAACCCACTTATTTATCGCAAAGTGCCAACATGGTAATTTAACCTGATTATTTATTTATATATTTTATTTTTATTATTAAATTTATATCC